CGTGAAGAGAGAGAGAGAGAGAGAGAGTGTGTGTGTGTGAGAGAGAGAGTGTGTGTGTGTGTGTGTGTGAGAGAGAGAGAGAGTAAATGGTTACAATGGAAGGAGAAATCAAAAGAAAGAACCAATATAAAAGTAAATAGATACTGGTTGTGCCAGCTAGAGGGAAGGTGCCCTTAGATGCTCAATGCTTCATTTGTCCAGGTCAAACATGAATCAGCTGTCTCTCTGCATCCTTCCAGCCACACCACATCAAGCTATGATCTAGTTGAATCTCATAAACATCCCCTGACAAGGAGTTCCACAGGTTGACTATGCACTGAGTGAAGAAGTACTTCCTTATGTTTATTTTAAAGCTGCTGTCTATTAATTTCATTGGGTGACGCCTGGTTCTTGTGTTAAGTGAAGGAGTAAATAACACTTCTTTATTCACTTTCCCCACACCATTCATGGTTTTATAGACCTCTATCATAACCCCCCCTCCTCCAGTCATCTCTTTTTCTAAGCTGAACAGTCTCTCTTCATACAGAAGCTTTTCCACACCCCTAATCATTTTTGTTGCCCTTTCCTGACCAGTATTCAAGGTGTGCGTGGAGCATGGGTTTATTATAGAGCCTTATGATATTATTGTCTTATTGTCTCTCTCTTTGCTAATGGTTCCTAACAGAAAACTGCTGCTGTACATTGAGCAGATATTTTCAGATAACTATCCACAGTGACTCCAAGATCTCTTTCTTTAGTGGTAACAGCTAATTTAGTATTTATAGTTGGGATTATGTTTTCCAGTGTCATTACTTTGCATTCATCAACCCTGAATTTCATAGTCACCCTGTGTAGTGAGATCCCTTTGTAAATCTTTGCAGTCAGCTTTGGACTTAACTATCTTGAGTAATTTTGTAGCTTCTGCAAACTTTGCCACCTCACTTTTTACCCCCTTTTTCCAGATCATTCATAAATATGCTGAACAGCACTGGTCCCAGTACAGATTCCTTGAGGACCCCACTGTTTAACATCTCTCCAGTGTGAAAACTGACCATTTATTCCTCCTTTTGTTTCCTATCTTTTAACCAGTCACTGATCCATGAGAGGACCTTCCTTCTTATTCCATGACTGCCTACTTTGCTTAAGACCCTTTGATGAGGGACCTTGTCACAGGCTTTCTGAAAGTCCAAGTACACTATATCGAAGACCCTACCAAATTCAATTTTGGTCAATTTTACTGTCAGAGGATTTTAAAAATAGTAAATTTCATTATTTAAATCTATTTTAATTCTATTTAAATCTGAAATTTCACAGATTTGTAATTGTAGGAGTAGTGGGGGATCGCAAGGTTATTGTAGGGGGGTTGCGGTATTGCTATCCTTACTTCTGTGCTGGTGGTGGCGCTGCCTTCAGAGCTGGGCAGCTGGGGAGTGGCAGCTGTTGGCTGGGGGCACAGCTCTCAAGGCAGAACCGCTACCAACAGCAGTGCAGAAGGAAGGATGGCATAGTATGGTATTACCACCCTCACTTCTGTGCTGTTGCGCCACTGCCTTCAGAGCTGGGCGCCCAGCCAACAGCCACCACTCTCCAGCCACCGAACTCTGAAGGCAGCACAGAAGTAAAGGTGGCAATACCATGATCCCCTTAAAATAACCTTGTGACCCCTGTGCAACTCCCTTTTGATTCAGGACCCCCAGTTTGAGAAATGCTGGTCTCCCCTATGAAATCCCGATAGTATAGGGTAAAAGCACACAAAACACTAGATTTCATGGTCCGTGACGTTAGGGTGACCAGATTTCCCGATTTTATAGGCACAGTCCCGATTTTTGGGTCTCTTTCTTATATAGGCTTCTATTCCCCCCCACCCCCATCCCGATTTTTCACATTTGCTGTCTGGTCACCCTATGTGACATGTTTGTCATGGCCGTGAATTTGGTAGGGCCCTAACTATATCCACTGAATCACCTTGTCTACATGTTTGTTGACCCCCCTCAGTGAATTCTAATAGGTTGGTGAGGCATGATTTCCCTTTACAAAAGCTGTGTTGACTCTTCCTCAGAATATTCTGTTCATCTGTCGGTCTGATAATTCTGTTCTTTACAATACTTTCAACCAGTTCTTCTGGTACTGAAGTTAGATTTCCTGGCTTATAATTCCCAGGATTTCCCCTGAAACCTTTTTTGATAATAGGTGGTACATTAGCGATCCTCCAGTCACCTGATACATAGGCTGATTTAAGCAATAGGATTCTGTAGCGATGCAATGACTCACCGGCACGGAGCCTCCTGCTGGCCGTCTCAGGAATTAGCTCTTGTTGAGCTTGGAGCGCCCTCTCTTGGCCGGTGTCTCGTCTGCCTCTGGCCCCCATGTCCCTCCCAGACCCAGTGCCCCTTACCCTCTGGGTCCTGCCCCCAGCAGTAACCCACAGTCATCATCTAGCCCCCGCTCACTGGGACAAACTACAGTCTGTAGAAAACCACTCATCATTGGCAAGGGGGGTGGGGGTTGGACCAGCTGCCTCTGCCTAACCCCAGGCTGCTCCTCCCAGTCCCCATATCTGCATAGGCCTCTATCAAGGCCTGCAGCCTGGGGAGTTGCCAGGCTGGAGCTCCCCAGCTCCTCCTCCCTTTCCCCAGCACGGCGCTTGGCTTTCTGTCCCACTCTCGGTGGCTCCTCAGAAACTCCCTCCGGAGGAGTTTTACCAGGACTCGCTGCTCACATGCCAGCTGCCCCAACTGTTCGTGGAGGGCCCACTGCCCCTCCCATAGTCCCTCTTGGGTCTCCCGGATCCCTTGCAGGTCATCCGCCCCCTTCTGCAAGGGTGCTGACACCGGGGCCCAACCAGGGATGGCATTTGGGGTCTCTGCCAAGAAAACCCCCGTGTAGCCGGGTTCCATCGTCCCCTTTCTCCAGATCTCCGGGAAATAGTACCAGTCCTTGCCCTGCCCCTTGTATCGGGGCAGACCGCATGTGCCCACATTCTCCACCACGTGTAGCGATGTGACGATTCATCGGTGCGGTGCCTCTTGCTGGTCGTCTCAGGAATTAGCTCTTGTTCAGCTTGGAGCGCCCTCTGTTGACCGGTGTCTCGCCTGCCTCTGGCCCCCATGTCCCTCCCGGACCCCGGTGCCCCTTACCCTCTGAGTTCTGTTCTCAGCAGTAACCCACAGTCTGGGTCTCCCCTCCCAGGGGAACCCCCAACCCTCTATCCCCACCTGGCCTCAGTGGCTACTGCCAGTCATCATCTAGCCCCTGCTCACTGGGGCAAACTGCAGTCTGTCATAGTCACTCATCATTGGCAAGGGGAGGGCGGACTTGCTGCCTCTGCCTAACCACAGGCTGCTCCTCCCAGCCCCCGTACCTGCATAGGCCTCTATCAAGGCCTGCAGCCTGGGGAGTTGCCAGGCTGGAGCTCCCCAGCTCCTCCTCCCTTTCCCCAGCACTGCTCTGTCTCAAGTACCCTTCTCTCCCAGGCAGCCAGGTCCTTCTCTC